TCCAGGGAGAGCAGGGAAGACCCAATGCCGGACACTGTGGAGACTCACTGCCACTCAGTGTAGACAATACTGAACTAACTGGACCAGTGGTCTGACTTAAAGCACTGAATCAAAGTTATGTTGCTTCCTTCAGCGCTTAATATTTCTCTAGCCTTCTGCTGAGCTTAGAGCACTCTTTCCATGGCCTTTGACATTATATAGCAGGATTTTACACTTTAAATCAGAAGCAGGGAACCTGCGACTCTTCAAGTGATGATAGACGCCAGCTCCCGTCAGCTCCAGCCAGCATGATCCCATTCTATAATTTAATAGAAAAGGTACGGAGACCGAAAATAAACAAATCTGCTTGTGCAATAGGATATTGTGTCTCGCTAGCACCCATGTCACTGGGAACTGTCCAATAAGATAGATTTTGTGTTTTTTTTTTTATAAAAATTTTTTATTAGTTTTCCAAACATATAGTATAAACAAACAACAAAACAAAACAAAACATACACACAAATAAACATGTACAATTTCATAAACTCATTCTCCTTCACCTTGTTTCCCGGACTTCCCCATACCTCCCTTTTTCTGCATCCTTATTTTTTCCCTTTTGACAGCAACCCTTCATTTCATTATTAATTTATCTTCATTATAGCCCCTTTAAATTTATGATATACAGCTGCAATTCTCTATTTCTTAATACCATAACATCTCAACACTCTTCAATTTTACAACAGTTTTTCAGATATACTTTAAATTTCTTCCAATCTTCTTCCACTGTCTCTTTCCCCTGGTCACGGATTCTGCCGGTCATCTCAGCCATTCCCATGTAGTCAATCACCTTCGCTTGCCATTCTTCCAGAGTAGGTAGCTGCTGCGTCTTCCAATACTTTGCCAGAAGAATCCTTGCTGCTGTGGTAGCATACATAAAAAAAGTTCTGTCCTTCCTTGACACCAATTGGCCCACCATGCCCAGGAGAAAAGCCTCTGGTTTTTTAGGAAATGTCCATTTAAGGACCTTTTTGATTTCATTATAGATCATTGTTAACCATTTTGAATCTGCCTCTGTTTTCTGGGAAAGGGATGGGAGCCTCAGGTTGGGGAATGAGTATGTGGCCCTTCATGCTGCTCTATCTGGCCCTTGGTGGGGGTTTCCATGGGCCACATTTCTCGCTGACCCTGCTTCACACTGTCCTAGAATGTTTTTGTCCGGCTGAGTTGTGTCCTTCGCTGGAGCTTGGTAAATATATTACAGCTCTGTGCAGGATGAAATGATGAAGACTGATGGATGAAGGATAAACGAAACTTAAGGTTTATTACTCAGAGCAAATAAAGCCAAGCACAGTGGTACCTTGGTTCTCAAACTTAATCCGTTCCGGAAGTCCGTTCCAAAACCAAAGCGTTCCAAAACCAAGGCGCGTTTTCCCATAGAAAGTAATGCAAAACAGATCAATCTGTTCCAGACTTTTAAAAACAATCCCTAAAACAGCAATTTCACCTGAATTTTACTGTCTAACGAGACCATTGATCCATAAAATGAAAGCAATAATCAATGTAAAGGTAAAGGAACCCCTGACCATTAGGTCCAGTCACAGACGACTCTGGGGTTGCGGCGCTCATCTCGCTTTATTGGCCGAGGGAGCTGGCGTACAGCTTCTGGGTCATGTGGCCAGCATGACTAAGCCACTTCTGGCAAACCAGAGCAGCACACGGAAATGCTGTTTACCTACCCGCTAGAGTGGTACCTATTTATCTACTTGCACTTTGACGTGCTTTCGAACTGCTAGGTTGGCAGGAGCAGGGACTGAGCAACGGGAGCTCACCCCGTCGCGGGGATTCGAACCGCCCACCTTCTGATCGGCAAGTCCTAGGCTCTGTGGTTTAACCCACAGCACCACCCGCGTCCCTTAATAATTAATGTACTGTACTATAAAATAGAAAAGACAGTATTGTAGATGATAAAAATTAAATTTTATTTAGTCATTGTTTGGATGGGGTTTTTTTATCCCTTTCCGCAGTCACGCAATAAATCATGCTAGACAAGTAGCCAGTACAGGGCTAGCGCTACATGAACACAGGTTTGTAAGGAGATTAGCCCTATTTCAGCTCTTAAAAAGGAGGCGGGTGTAGCTTTGGGGACAATCAACAGTGATTTCAGGAAAGAGTTCTGCACCACTTCTAACAGGAAGACATTAATATATCCCCAAATCTCTGCACCGTACAATAATTGTGGCACAATCTTTTTTTAAAACTGTAGGGGAACTAAACTCCCCCCCCCCGCCCGAACTCTGGAAAACCACAATAAAGAGTGAATAGAGTGAGAGGATTTCAATTTAGCTGCAAGTACATGTGGCTTCCAGAACATTTTTGAATTAAAACCCAAGCCCAGGTATTTATAGTAGGATTGTTGTTCAAGAGGTTTATTGTCCAAACTCCCATCTGTGATGTTTTCTCTTCTTCCCCCAAAATCACCACTTTCTTTTTAGAATGGTTGACTGTTAAGTGCCAGTCTTTTGTGCCAGTCAATTGGGGGAAATGGAATGGGGAAATAGAAACAGAAAGCTAAAGCAGATCCGAATGAAGCAAGTGCTTTTGACCTAGGTCAAAATTGCAAGACTGTGTCGTCACCCTCAATGGTGCTGTCATCCTCAACGGTGTTGTAAACAAAATCTGCCCTTCTTCCCTTATGGGGTATCCGAGAGCCCATACAGAGTCCTTAAGTGGATTCCCTATAGGAGAAAATAACAGAGGTCAACCAGAGAATATTGAGAAGCAAAGCAGCTAGTAAGCCTGATCTTTATTAAAACTCTTGCAACAAGGTGCTCCTCTCACATGCAGGAGGACGGAGGAGGTCCCAGAACAAAGGTGTGCCAGCTCTTATATAGACATTTTAAATTGCCCACCCTGGAGTCCAAGACCACCCCCAGAAACATCATACCATACATCACAGAAGGGGTGTAGCTCAACCCCCCCCTCCCAGATACATCATACCTACATCATAGAAAAGGTGGTCTACAACAGAAATCTGAGTGCGTTGTTTATCTCCTGTCTGGCAGGTTACCTGCTAATGGTCACTTGATTGGATTACCTGGGGAGCCTGGCCAGTCTTTTGTAATGATAATTACTTAGTTCCTGAGCCAAGTCACAGGCTCACCCTATTCATACACAGACATACCCTTAAGACAGGATTTGTGAACAAAAAGACAATGGGGACGCTTTTCCATTTTCCTTCAACCTTGCAGAGATATATTTGAGGTCAATTTGGGAGGAACAAAATGGATTCAGGACTTTTTCTGTGGGGTTTCAGACATGCGGTTTATATATGCAGTTATGAACATTTAACACACACACACACCCCTCTATATATATATAATTCTTATAACAATGACAACCACAGAGAACTCAGAGAATTGCATGCCCATTTCTTTCACATCCAGGGGCTGCTCCAACAGAGGATGAGAGCACTGTTGTCCTCATCCTTCCCCCCCCCCCCACCATCCCGATGCCGGTTTTGTCTTTTAAACCAGGGATGATGAACCTGGTGGCAGAAGGAGGTTTTAAGCACCTCCTCAAAACCCATCTCCTCCACCAGAGGACCAGAGGGTGGCAACACGAGAAAGGGCCTTTTCTGCAGTGGCACCCAGTTTAGCGCTGGGCAAGAACATACCCCTTGAACCAGGCCTTTGGCTGACTGACATCCAGTGCCCTTTTAAAATGTGTGTGCAGGGGGCTTTATTGAGTTGGTTTTGTTTTGATTACAGTGGTACCTCTGGTTACGTACTTAATTCGTTCTGGAGGTCCATTCTTAACCTGAAACTGTTCTTAACCTGAAGCACCACTTTAGCTAATGGGGCCTCCTGCTGCCACCGCGCCGCCGGAGCCCGATTTCTGTTCTCATCCTGAAGCAAAGTTCTTAACCCGAGGTACTATTTCTGGGTTAAAAGAGTCTGTAACCTGAAGCGTATGTAACCTGAAGCGTATGTAACCCGAGGTACCACTGTATCTCTGAATGGCCATAACAACGTAAGGAGAGCCTGCTGGATCCTGCCATCTAGACCACCATCCTCTTCTCACAGTGGCCAACCTGAGGCCTTAGTGGGGAGCAGGACCTGAGCCCAAGAGTACAGTGGTACCTTGGGTTACATACGCTTCAGGTTACAGACTCCACTAACCCAGAAATAGTGTTTCAGGTTAAGAACTTTGCTTCAGGATGAGAACAGAAATCGTGCTCTGGCGGCACAGCGGCGGCAGGAGGCCCTATTAGCTAAAGTGGTGCTTCAGGTTAAGAACAGTTTCAGGTTAAGTACGGACCTCCAGAACGAATTAAGTACTTAACCCGAGGTACCACTGTATTGGGATTTTATGTTGTGAACTGCCCTTGAGACCTGTAGGTATAGAGCAGAATACAAACAAACAAACAAACAAACAAACGCCACCTCCAACTGTGAAGGCAGAGCATAGCCTTCGTGGCTAGCTGCCATGGATAGCTTTCTGTTCCGTGTATTTGTCTAATCCCCTTGTAAAGCCATCTAAGCAAGCGGCCGTCGCTGTCTCCCGTGGCAATGAGTTCCATAGTTTAACTACGTGCTGCCTGTAAATATCTCCCTGATTCTCCCAGCATTCACTTTCATGGGAAGCTCGCGAGTTATAGTGTTGTGAGAGCGTGAGAAAAAACTTCATTTTCTCCATGCCACGCATCATTTTTTTAAATGCACTTTTATCTCCCCGAATAGCGAATCCCACCATCGTGTCCAGCCCGTTCTCTAAGCTTAAAAAGTCCCAGGTGTCGAAATCTTTCCTCTTGCGGGAGCCTTTTATCTTCTCTCTCTCTCTTGCCCTTTGCTGCAAGATCAAAACAATGACCAGATCGTCAAGGTCTCTAATCGGTTTCGTTTTCTCCTTTGCCTGCCCAGGAAAAGGAAAGCGAAATCCTCCCGGAGACGCTTCGCTCCGTTTTGCTTTCCTCAGAAGCGCCCCCTGCCGGTGAAATCGCGAAAGCGAGGCGGCTATAAAAGGCCAGTCGAAGGGAGAGCTGCTGCCAGACCGCGTCAGCTGAGCATCCGACGGCAGCTGTTGGCTTCGGTGTCCCGATCGCTGACTTCAGGCGTTGCTACGACCCGGACGGCAAAAGTGCAGGATGGTAAGGGAAAGGTCCGCTAGCGGAGTGTGGGTGCCTGAATGGGTGTAGCCAGGATTTCTGGGGTTGGGGGGGGGGGCAGGAGACCCGTCTGTCATCATCCTCTTTCTGGCTCTGTCTAGCAGATTCGGAATGAAATATCTCAACAACAGCTGTTTTAAATTACTTTCTTTTGACCCCAAGTGCTCAGGAAAATCTGTCAAAATCTTCGTAATAATAATAATAATAATAATAATAATAATAATTTATACCCTGCCCATCTGTCTAGCTTTCCCCAACAGAATATTAAAAACACAATAAAACATCAAACATTAAAAACTAAACAGGGTTGCCTTCAGATGTCTCCTAACCTAACCTGCCCCCCCAATATCCATAGGTGTGTGTGAGGAAGAGGAGGAAATGGGGCTGCCAACTGACCCCCCCAAAACGGGCTTGTACTGCTCTTGTGGCTTTAAGAGCAGCTTAACTTTTAGATCTTCATCCCAAGAAAGAATTAGTTTTATTTATTTATATTGCTCTGAGTAGACCCACTGACAATAATGGAGCCTAATTTTTATTTTATTGCATTTCTACCCCACCTTTTTTCTCTAAAGAGTGGCAGTCACGGTTCTCCCCCCTCCTTATTTAACCCCCACAACAACCATCTGAGGTAGGTAAGGCTGAGAGAGGGCAGTGACTGCCCCCCATGGCTGAGTGGATATTTGAACCCTGGTTTCCCAGTTCCTAGTCCACTGCTCTAACCATTACACCACCAATGGCTCTTTGTGTGGAATGGATAACAAATGAGAATGGGTTGCATGAACAATGTGTGTGTGTGTGTGTGTGTGTGTGTGTGTGTGAAAGAGAGAGAGAGATTTGAATTTTACGTTATGCTGCCTTGCAGTACTCTCTGATTTTATTGATACTGACATCACTTGTGAAGAAAGATATTGTTTAGGCCAGTGTTTCCCAAACTGGGGTCTCCAGCTGTTTTTGAACTACAGTTCCCAACATCCCTGACCACTGGTCCTGCTAGCTAGGAATGATGGGAGTTGTAGTCCGAAAAAGCGGAATACTCTGGTTTGAATAATAATAATAATAATAATAATAATAAATAATTTATACCCCGCCCATCCCCAGCCACTCGGGGCAGCTACTAACAAGATTTAAAACCTAGTAAAACCTGCGTTCCACAGGGCAGGTGCCACTAACAACAGCAATTTATTATTATGCTGGGTTTCCCCAGCAACTCTGGGCAGCTACTAACAAGATATTAAAAACACAGTAAAACATCAAAGATTAAAAACTTCCCTATACTGGGCTGCCTTCAGATGTCTTCTAAAAGTCAGATAGTTGTTTATTTCCTTGACGTCTGATGGGAGGGCATTCCACAGGGCGGGCACCACTACCGAGAAGGCCCTCTGCCTGGTTCGCTGCAACCTTACCTCTCGCAGTGAGGGAACTGCCAGAAGGCCCTCGGATCTGGACCCTGGTGTCTGGGGCTGAATGATGGGGGTCGAGATGCTTTCAGGACTGGTGTTATGTGGTCTCGGCGGCCACTTCAAGTCACCAGTCTAGCTGCCGCATTCTGGATTAGTTGTAGTTTCCGGATCACCTTCAAAGGTAGCCCCATGTAGAGCGCTTTGCGGTTAGAAACACTGGTTTAGGCTAAGCGAAACACCTGAGAGTAGGCTCACATGCTCCTTTGGCAATAACCCTTATCTCCCGGGTCCTAACCTGACATTAACCACCACACTCTCTGCTTCCTTCCCAGGCCCTGCGGTTGAATGTAAAATTCCTGTCAGGAGAGCAATACTCCCTGGACACGCATGCCAGCAAAACTGTCTGGGATTTCAAAATCCAAGTAGCCCAGAAGACAGGGTTGTCCCCATATCAGCAGAAGCTGGCCTGCCAGTCCAACGGCAACATCAACCTTCAAGACAGCGACCAGCTCTCCAAATTCGGGCTGAAATCCGGGGACACCATACTGTTGGTGGTCAAGAGCGAGGAGTCCATCCCCATCTTCCTGCATAACGCCAGGGGCCAAACCAAAAGCTACCTCGTCATGCCTTCGGATTTGGTGAACCAGTTCAAAGCTCGAATTCGGCAGCAGGAGAACATCCAGGCTGATCAGTTCTGGCTGACGTATGAAGGGAAACCCCTGGAGGATGACTACAAGCTGTCTCACTACAACATCGCTCCCCACGGCACCGTCTACTTGAACTTCCGCCTCCGAGGGGGCTGCAATTTGGGGGGTGGGCCAGCTTAGCAGACCTCTGGACCCCCCAGGCTGTTTCCTCTCTGCTTTTTTTGACTTGCTTCTAAGTTAGATCACACTCTGTCCCCATCTTCAGCATGCCACCAGCCTTATGGTCTATGTCAGGGGTCAGCAACCTTTTTCAGCCATGGGCTGGTCCATCGTCCCTCTGACCATGTGGTGGGCTGAACTATATTTTTTTTGGGGGGGGGGATGTGAACGAATTCCTATGCCCCACAAATAACCCAGAGATGCATTTTAAATAAAAGCACACATTCCACTCATGGAAAAACACGCTGATTCCTGGACCATCCGTGGGCCAGATTGAGAAGGCGATTGGGCCGCATCCGGCCCCCGGGCCTTGGGTACCTACCCCTGCTCTATGTATTTGCAGCAGTACTGAGCATTTTTGGAAATTTTGTTGAGCCACCTGTTGCGCAAGGAGCTTCCGCCAGTGCAACTGCTGAGTTGAATTCCTCCATTGCTCAACATGAAAAACCAGCTAGCGCAGGTACAGAGAGCCTTGCCAATAGACCTCAGTATTATAGAAATGTTGCAGCAGGTATTCCATCTGGCTGCAGACATCGCACATGGCTGTAGCCATTCTGCTCTGTAGCCATTCTCCTTGCCCTGAATTCTTTCCATTCAGGCTGGCTATTGTCAGAAATTATAACTTCCAACAACCAGTTGCCTGGGCTTGCTTGTTTTCCTCTTCCCTCACCATCCCTTTTTCCTTTTGTTGTTTTATGTAAGCTGCTCTGGGAGCCTTTTTTGGGGGGTGGGAAGAGTGGGGCGAAAATGCTTAAAATAAATAGCAAGTGTTGACTGGCTTTTTAATTATTATTTTGCCCCTCCTTGGCTTCGATTCCGTATTGTACTCAAGAGCTTTTTTGTACTTGCTTTTACACTGCTTTCAAAAATAAATACAAGAAAACACAAAAATGACTTGTGTGATTGCTGCTCTTCCTGCTGACAAAGATTTTTTTGTGGTTTGCACAGCTGTCAAATGCGGCAACGTCATTGGTCCCAGTGAGTCATTTTAGGGCATTGGGGTGATCACATTGTGAAATTATGGGTGTGGTAGCTGACATGGGATGGGTATATACATTTAAAGAGCATTCCCCCATCTCCATAGACCCATGAGAACCGTAGTTTGTCAAGAGTGCTGGGAATTGTAGTTCTGTGAGGGGCAAACTACAGTTCCCAAGATTCATTGGGGGGGGAGTTGGAGATGTGCATTGTCAATATGGTGCTTGATGCCCGGGTCTGATGGTAGGCTGAAACATCTGGAGGTCACCAGGTTGGCAAAGACTGTTAGTTGTACTTCTGCTAGGGAGACCTGGGTTCGAATCCTCATTCAGCCACAGAGCTTTACTGGGCTTGAGCGCCACATTAGGCAAAATGTTCTTGCACTGAAGGGGGTTGGACTAGATGGCCCTCGTGGTCCCTTCCAACTCTGCAATTCTATGATTCTAAGATGGAGAAGGAGCGGGACAGATGTCTCAACGATTTTGCCACCTTGGTGACTCAGGATTAGCAAGAGTCAAGAGCACTGTGGTTATCAGTTCAGCTGCTGTTTTCTGAGAACCAGACAGGAAGAGGACTCCCCTTTGTGTCTGCCACCTTATCAAGGAAGCAGCCAGCTTGTCATCAACCTTCTGAGAAAAATACAAAACATTAAACAAAGCCACAGAGACTTGTGAACTACCCAGGCTAAAATGAACTTATAATGTCTTGTTTCAATAGATTTTTCAAATGCTTAACTCAGTCTTTTAGATAAGTTCATGAAGATGCCAAGAAAAGGTAAGTTCGGTGTTATTCACAATACCGAGAGATGCTAGTGGAGTTGTAGATGGATGTTAATGAAGTTGTAGACAGTGAAGTTGTAGGCGACAGGGTGCCGGACATTTTGTTCCTGTTTCGTCCTGGCAGTCCAAGTGATCAAGAGGCCGCTGTTCGCCCCCTGTTGGACATGCCTGGTATAAATCTTCAATCCAATCGTAGAAGGGAGCCACATTTTTCTTTTTCCAATTCATCAGTATCGGTCTTTTTGCTGTGGTAAGGGCACGGAGAGTCCACTTGTGTTGTCCTTCTGTAAGTTCCAATAAGTAAGGTCCCCTGCTGCCACTTGCCTCTTTGCACCCCACTAGAGGACATTTTGCTCTGTAAACGTAAGGTTGTTCCGTACAGTTCTGTTGATAGTTTCAGTTAAAAGGTAAAGATAAAGGTACCCCTGACCGTAAGGTCCAGTCGCAGACAACTCGGGGGTTGTGCACTCATCTCACTCTATAGGTGGAGGGAGCCGGTGTTTGTCCACAGACAGCTTCCGAGTCATGTGGCCAGCTTGACTAAGCCGCTTCTGGCAAACCACAGCAGCGCATGGAAACGCCGTTTACCTTCCCGCCTGAGTGGTACCTATTTATCTACTTGCACTTTAACGTGCTTTCGAACTGCTAGGTTGGCAGGAGCAGGGACCGAGCAATGGGAGCTCACCCCGTCGCGGGGATTTGAACCGCCGACCTTCTGATTGGCAAGCCCTAGGCTCTGTGGAGTTACCTTCTGCCAAAAATCTTTCAGCATGGGACAATGAAAAAACGTATGTTTTAGAGAAGCATTATCCCTATTGCATCTCCAACAGTTAGATACCTTAGATAGCCTTTTTTAAAAGAACAAACGTAGTGGGGTCCAGTATATTCTAAATATTATTTTTTGTTGAGACTCCTCTAGTGTATGCACCACCTTCAAGAGATGGATGAGGGAAGCTCAGGTGCTGGCTCAGAGGCGCACTGTTGCTTTCTGGCCACAGAGGGCGTCATGGCCACAGGGATGAGCGTCTATTGTCTTGCTCCAAGCGAGCCTCCAGGCAGATGTGATTTGGTCCTTGCAAAAGGAGCAAGCAAGGCGGAGAAGGTCTCCCTGGCATGGACTAGAATGTGGAAACTGAGGATGGGGTGGTTCTTGCTGGGACACCGTGAGCAGAGCCTGATGGAGTGAAAAACTATACGGTTGCAGCAGGGAGAGCTAGATCCACATCATCATCATCATCATCATCATCACACCTCCTCAGAAGAAGACCTCAGGGGGTTTGTGTGCTGCTGTTTGCGTGGAGTCTGCCCCCCCCCACGCTTCCAACCCTGGGGGGAAATACATGATGGGGTGCCTGGATTATTTCTGGGAGTTCTGGAACTACGAGACTCCCAAAGTGATTGTGGTGAAGAAGAGGAACCTTGGGGTCATCTATAGACTTGTTCAGCTCCTCATCCTGGTCTATTTCATCTGGTAAGTCTGGGCTGTCTATGGGAAGTGGTGCAATCCGGTGATTATTGTTTTTGAGACTCAGAACTGAGCATTTGGATAGAGCTCAGTTGGTGCCGACAGTGCTCCCCCCCCAAAAAAAATGTTTAGGGATACTCCTCTCATTTTGACTCCAGAAAATCACAATTTGATAGTTCAAATCGGGGTAAATAAATACAGTAAATGGACAAAAGTGCAGAGATTCACAAAATGTTTGGGGTATGTGTACCCATGCGTCCCCCGCCCCCCAAAAAGCACTGGGTGCCATAACACCAAGGTTGCAGGTTTGATCCCAGCCGCATATTTTTGTATTGCAGACAATTTGGCTAGAAGATTCTCAGGGTCCTTTTCAACTCTACAGTTCTAGGATCAGAACTGAATGGGGTGGCCAGTGATGGGAAAATATATTTTCTGTTAACTTTCTTGTAAATGTGGGAAGTGAGCCCTGCTGCATTTTGCGTGGGGAGGGGCGGTGACTTTTGCTTGTCTTGCTTAGTGGGCTCCTATATGTGCTTTTCAACTTGTTCATCGGTTATCTAGAATTAGGGGTGAGCAGTGAGGTGGGGGCGTTTGCTGATGATACTAAATCGTTCAAGGTTGTTAGAAGAAAGAGATTGCTGAGAGTACAAAAAGGACCAAACTGAGCGAATGGGCAGTAAAATGGCAAATACAATTCAGTGTCATCAAATGTAAAGTCATGGCAAAAAAATATATATCTTAATTTCATATAGACACTCATGGGATCTGAACTGACAGCGACGGACCGGGGATGAGAATTTGGGATCGTACCAGATATCTTGGGGAATATGTCAACCTAGTGCGTGGTTTTGCTGTGAAAAGGGCAAAGTCCATGCTACAGATAATTCAGAAAGGAATAAAAAAATCATCATCTTCATCAGCAGTAGCAACAACAGCATATTATTATTTATACCCGGCCCATGTGGCTTGGTTTCCCCAGCCACTCTGGCTGGCTCCCAACAGAATATTAAAAACACGAAAAAACATCAAACACTAAAAACTTCCCTAAACTTGGCTGCCTTCAGATGTCTTCTAAAAGTCAGATAGTTGTTTATTTCCTTGACATCTGATGGAGAGGTTGGATAGAGAGAATCTTTCCTCCCTCTCTCGGAACACTGGAACTAGTGGACACATCCCCTTTGTTGGAAGATTCTGGAGAGATAAAATGAAGTGCTTCACACAATGTGTAGTTCAACTTTGGAACTCACTGCCACAGGAGGCAGTGATGGCCACCAACTGGAATGGCTTTGAAAGAGGATTGGACAAATTCAGGGAGGAGAGGGCTATCAATGGCTGTTAGCCATGACGGCTACGCTCTATCTCCGCAGCTGGAGGCAGCAATGCTTCTGAATCCCAGTTGCTGGGAACCACAGCTGGGGAGAATGTTGCTCTTATACTCAGGTCCTGCTTGTGGGCTTTTCCCCAGGCATCTAGGTGGCCACTGTGAGAGCAGGAGGCTGGACTAGGTGGGCCAGTGAGCTGACCCACCAGGCTGTCCTTATGCTCTTAATACAAGGTTTTAGTGTTTAAGGTGCTATAGGAAAAACCTTTTCCCTTATGGGGTATCCAGGAGCCCGTACAGAGCCCTTAAGTGGGTTCCCTATCGGTAGGAGAAAGTAACAGAGGCCAACCAGAGAATATTGAGAAGCAAAGCGGCTAGTAAGCCTGATCTTTATTAAACTGTTGTAACAGGGTCCCCACTCACCACATCTAGGAGGGAGAGAGAACCTCGAACAACGATGTGCACGCCCTTATACAGTGGTACCTCGGATTACATACACTTCAGGTTACAGACGCTTCAGGTTACAGACTCCGCTAACCCAGAAATAGTACCTCGGGTAAAGAACTTTGCTTCAGGATGAGAACAGAAATTGAGGGGCGGCAGCGGGAGGCCCCATTAGCTAAAGTTGTCTTCAGGTTAAGAACAGTTTCAGGTTAAGAACAGACCTCCAGAACAAATTAAGTACGTAACCAGAGGTACCACTGTATAGACTTTTGAAATTGCCCAAGACCACCCCAAAAAACATCATACATACATCATAGAAGGAGGTGGTCTACAGCAGAAATCCTGTCCAGGATACCTGACAATGGTCACTGATTGCTTTACCTGGGCAGCCTGGCCATTCTTGTGTGATGGTAAATACTTTAGTTCCTGAATCCAGGCCACAGGCTCACCGTATTCATACACAAATGCGCCCTTAAGACAGGTAAGCAAAAGACAGTGGAGAGGCTTTCCCATTTCCTTCCTCCTTGCAGAGAAATATTGGAGGTCAATTTGGGAGAGTCAAAATGGCTTCAGGATTGCTCTCCTGTACTATTTCAGACACGTGGTTTATATAATGTATGTGTTTGCCTTGTACATTTATGAACGTTTATTTTATATTTGGGACCTTAGAATTCTTATAACAAAGGTGCTACAAGACTCTGCTGGTTTCTCAACAGGTACGTGTTTATCATCCAGAAGGGCTACCAGGAGAGTGAGTCGGGCCCAGAAAGCTCCGTCATCACTAAAGTGAAGGGTGTCAGTCGCTCTCAGCACAAGGTCTGGGATGTGGAGGAATATGTGAAGCCTCCAGAGGTGAGCACGTGAGAGCGCCCTCTGCAGACAGGGCGAGGAACACACACCTGAACTCAGCTGTGGAAGAAGCACAGGGATGTCGCTTCCGGATTACGGGAGGCAAAAGGAGACAAATGGGTGTCCTCCTGTCAGGGGTGCCAACTTGAATAGAATATTTTGGGGGGGGGCTGCATAATCAATCACATGACATGACACAGGCGTACCATTTGCATGGCAATGCCCAGTAACTTGGGGTGGCCCAGCACCCTCACCTATTATATTGGGGTGTGTGTGTGTGAAGGGACTCCAAGGAGTTGGCTCCTAGGCCTCCAGGTGGTTATGGACTACAACTCCCATGATTCCTGATGTGACCACAGGCCCTGCTGGCTGGGACTGATGCATGCTGGGAAACCCAGCCTCTGCAGGGCACCACAATCGTTCTTCCCGATGATAAGGTCTCCAACAATGCCATGTCATAAAAACCTGTGTGGGACTGTGGCGATCACACAGGGTCCCTGGACATTTCACCGTCTATTGATCCCTGTGCCACCACTTTATTTCTTGCTGCCACCACCCAGGCCCTCCCTGGTACAATACAGTGGTACCCCGCAAGACGAACGCCTCGCGAGACGAAAAACTTGCAAAACGAAAGGTTTTTTCGTTTTCGAGTTGCCTCGCAAGACGAATTTCCCTATGGGCTTGCTTCGCAAAACGAAGCTTGCCCCGGGGACAGCGGGTCTTCTCTTTTGAAGCAAGGGGCTGCGGGGAGATCGCTTCTCCCGGTGCTCCGAAGCGGGGTGGGGGGGGCGGGAACACCTGCCCCAGCCGCCGGGCTTCGTAGCGCTGCTGCGAAGCCGGGCGGGGGGCGGGAACACCTGCCCCAGCCACCCCGCTTCGGAACGCTGCTCCGAAGCGGGGTGGGGGGGCGGGAACACCTGCCCCAGCCGCCGGGCTTCGTAGTGCTGCTGCGAAGCCGGGCGGGGGGCGGGAACACCTGCCCCAGCCGCCGGGCTTCGTAGCGCTGCTGCGAAGCCGGGCGGGGGGCGGGAACACCTGCCCCAGCCACCCCGCTTCGGAACGCTGCTCCGAAGCGGGGTGGGGGGGGCGGGAACACCTGCCCCAGCCGCCGGGCTTCGTAGCGCTGCTGCGAAGCCGGGCGGGGGGCGGGAACACCTGCCCCAGCCACCCCGCTTCGGAACGCTGCTCCGAAGCGGGGTGGGGGGGCGGGAACACCTGCCCAGCCGCCGGGCTTCGTAGCGCTGCTGCGAAGCCGGGCGGGGGGCGGGAACACCTGCCCCAGCCACCCCGCTTCGGAACGCTGCTCCGAAGCGGGGTGGGGGGGCGGGAACACCTGCCCCAGCCGCCGGGCTTCGTAGCGCTGCTGCGAAGCCGGGTGGGGGGGCGGGAACACCTGCCCCAGCCGCAGGGCTTCGTAGCGCTGCTGCGAAGCCGGCGGGGGGCGGGAACACCTGCCCCAGCCACCCGCTTCGGAACGCTGCTCCGAAGCGGGGTGGGGGGGCGGGAACACCTGCCCCAGCCGCCGGGCTTCGTAGCGCTGCTCCGAAGCGGGGTGGGGGGCGGGAACACCTGCCCCAGCCGCCGGGCTTCGTAGCGCTGCTGCGAAGCCGGGCGGGGGGCGGGAACACCTGCCCCAGCCACCCCGCTTCGGAACGCTGCTCCGAAGCGGGGGGGGGGGCGGGAACACCTGCCCCAGCCGCCGGGCTTCGTAGCGCTGCTGCGAAGCCGGGTGGGGGCGGGAACACCTGCCCCAGCCGCCGGGCTTCGTAGCGCTGCTGCGAAGCCGGCGGGGGGGGGGGGCGGGAACACCTTCTGAAGGCGTGCGGGGGGCGAAAGTCTTTGTCCCCCCTGCCTGCCTTCCCAGGGGCTTTTAAATCGCCCCGGACAGCGGAGAAGTCCTCCGCTGTCCCGGGGCGATTTTAAAATGCCGCCCGCCAGCATTTTAAGATCGCCCGGACAGCGGAGAAGTCCTCCGCTGTCCCAGGGTTTTTTAAAATGCTGGGGGTGGGAAGAAAAGCCCTTGTCCCCCCCCCCAGCCTTCAGAAGAGGTCCGGGGACAGTCTGTCCCCGGACCTGGTCTGAAGGCGGTTTCCCTAGGAACGCATTAATTGATTTTCAATGCATTCCTATGGGAAACCGTGCATCGCAAGACGAAAAAACCGCAAGACGAAGAGACTTGCGGAACGAATTAATTTCGTCTTGCGAGGCACCACTGTACTGAGTCCAGTCAGAGTTAATTTGGAACATAAACTTCTGTTTATTTATTGCAGTTTAACAAGCGTGTGGTTTCATAAATGGTATCGGTCCATTACAATTATGGGGTGCCTATCCAGACCTATAACTTCCGCTTCCTGCTCTCACTCACTAAACCACCTCTCAGATATTTACTTGTCTTCCCAGCTCCTAATTGTTCCTGACTCAGCTTATTTACCTACACTAACTCAACCTACCCACAGACTCTATCCCAATTCACTCCCACTCCAACCAACCACCCAACTCCCAACGAACTCTCCCTTCGCCCCTCCCAGAGCTGGTTTTATAGTCCCTCTGACTCCACCCCCTGGGTTCTGATTGGGTAACCTGTTTAACTATTTCACCTCCAGCACTCTCATATGTTAACGTCACAGGGACATCGTGTAGAGCCTTTGGGGTAAAAAGAGGGCAAATGCTCTGCCTCCAGAACCATTCTTTTTTGGGGGGGAGGAGAACTCCAGAACCCTTTTTTTTGGGGGGGGACTCAATTATGTTTATTGGATAACTCAGACAGGGAGAGTGCTGTGTACTCAGGTCCTGCTTGCAGGCTTTCCACTGAGGCAGAGCCGGCCAAACCATGAGGCAAGTTGAGGTGATTGCCTCAGGTGGCAGAATCCACAGGGGCAACAAATCCTAACTGTATCTTTATTCCCCCTTTGTAGATCATCACTCATCTCTTCTTACCTGGTGGGAAAGGGACACCCATTTTGTGGTTTGCCTCAGGTTCCAAAATGTCTTGAGCTGGCCCAACACTGAAGTATCTGTTTGGTCACTGTGAGAACTGCATGATGGGCTAGAGGGACCCCTTCCCCCTTTTAGCCTGATCCAGCAGCCAGGTTTTCGTCTCATGTTCTTAAAGTGCCCAGGATTCTCACGAGGCTGATTGGTTGGATGCTTTGCCCACAAACACCTTTGGTGAAGCATCATGCATACATCACAGAGACATCATAGATATGTCACAAACAGGGAGGGGTCATCTGGCAGAAACTGGTTCATCAGGTTTGCCTCTAACCCTCCCTTGCTCTCCACCTTACACCCATCCAGTGATACAATGGAAATATTTACAAGTTCCTGGTTTTCCAGGCCAGGTAATCGCACTTCTTTGTCCAGACTGGGAGCTAATCCATTCCTGGACGGTTTGCTATTTTCCATGGGGTGACTACCTGCCTGGCACCCATTTGCCAGGATGCCAGTAATTCTCTCTTGTGCTGGGGCTGCTGTGTACATGATCCCAGGTTTCAGGGATTAGGGCTGTCTTTACTCATTTCCCAAGTTTCCCCTTGGTAGCCATTCCTTTCCCTGAGTCAAATGAAATTGGAATGGTGTGGTGTCGTGCGTTATGTGGTGCTTTGAGGAGACATTGTGTGTGTGAACAAAGAGGACGGGTTGCACACTGTGTGCTGGAGGGGCAACCCCCCCCCATCATTATAAAAATTCGTGTAACACCTCTAACTCTCCGTCTCGTCTGCAGGGAGGCAGTGTTTTCAGCATCATCACCCGCGTCCAAGTCACCTCCTCACAGACTCAGGACACCTGCCCCGAGGTAGGAATTGGCCGTGCCAAATATTTCACATCCCTGATTGGCTATCCACTTCCCTATTCCTTTATCTCAAAAGTTTGCCCGTTCATCAAAAGAGGCAATACGAACCATCCTGTCGAGGCAGATGTCGTGCCCCAGGAACTGTGGATCTTGCTGTGCTTCTAACTGTGGGAATGTTCAGGGAGGCAGGAGAGGATATATTGTTTATTAATATCCTTCCTAACTTGTGCTAGCAAATTCCTTTACTTAGCAGAGTTTTACATTCCCCTTTTAAAAGCACAGTGGATAACTGGTTGCAGGCTTGTGTAAGCCTCTCGCTGTTAGGTTCCTGGTAAGTTCCCTTATATCCCTCTTAAAAGAATAAACACACCACAATCTTGTGTAAAAGTATATAAAAGTTGTTTACTCACATCAGTTCACAGTTGGATCCTTGAAGGCAGACTTAGTTACAAAGCATATACATGTGGATCTATCCCATATGGGGATAATCCCAGTGCTAGCTGGAAGCCAACAGAGCATCTCTAGCTAAAAAGCTGCTCCAACGATGGAGGAAGTCAAAGAGAGAGTGTGTGCAGTGTGCCCTGCCCTTTCGTTACCTGGACAGGTAAGGTCACGCCCACCTCTAGTCACATGCAAAGGAAGTATGTCCCAGCCAGGAGGAAACAGGAAGTTTTCGACTGGCTGGACCAAACATTCCCCTGCATGTCCACTCTAGGAAAACAAGAAATGTTGTACTTGACTGCTACTTATGTATCATATCCCACACTAACTACTCTCTCTTGTCCGCCTTTTGCAGAATGTGAGGGCTCTGTGCCACTCCGACAGGGACTGCCATGCAGGAGAGATGGATATGCTGGGGAATGGTGAGCAATGGGGTTGTCTCGTGACAGGAACTGGCGTGACTCAGGATCTAAGCAAGCGAGTTGTGAAATCCCTGGCTTGGCTCTCTCCTGGGTTTTTAGCCATTTATTTCTTTTCTTGCTCCGCTTTTCACCTGTTCTGGAACCTTGGGTTATTCTCAGGTGTGCATGCAATTCCCAGGTGGCCACCCATCCAGGCACTGAGCAGTTTTAGACATTCAGCAAGGTGGTGCCTCTCCAGACCATGCCTTGGAGCCCACAGCTACAAACCTCCCAATCTTCTGCCTTCCAGATGTTCTTGAACTACAACTCCTACCAACTCCAGCCAGCACCATCATTTGAGACTACAACTCCCATCAGCCCCAGCCAGCACCATCATTTGTGACTAGAACTCCTATTAGCCCTAGTCAGCACAGCCATTTTGGACTACAACTCCCGTCGGCTCCGGTCTCTGCAGCTGCATGACACTTACGGCTGATGGGAGCACAGCTGCCCTGGCTGGGCTGCTGGGAGTTGTAGTTCAAAACATCCAGCAGTTACCAGGTCGGAGAAGGCTTTCTAGTGCAGATGCCATTCCCCCAGACGCCATTCCTCCTGGCGATATTGAGGTGACAACACCCCATCAGGCTCAAAAAATGGGGTTGTGGGCTGACCAGCTTTCACCTGTGCCCCTGTTCTTTCATTCCTTATAGGAGAGAAGACAGGGCGCTGTATCTCCTATAACTACAGCATGAAAACCTGTGAGATTAGAGCTTGGTGCCCCGTGGAGGACGCAGCATCTGTCAAGTAAGGAGGGACATGGAGATAAACAGAGATAATAATAATAATAATAATAATAATAATAATAATAATAATATTATATTATATATTATATTTATTATATATACTCCGCCCATCTGGCTGGGTTCCCCCAGACACTCTGGGCAGCTCCTGACAGAATTAAAAGCGCAATAAAACATCAAACATTTAAAACTTCCCTAAACGGGGCTGCCTTCAGCAGGGCGGAGGAAGGGGTGTGTGGTAGGTGCGGGTCACCCCGGGTGTCACCCCTGAGGGGGGTGACAAAATGCCAGGCGGCACTCACCTCAGGGCCTGCAGTGCGCCCGAGCCATGCCTCTCTTCTGGGAGAGACACAGTGGCTTAGGTGCGCACAGGCTCTGCACTGCCCAAATGGTCTGCCCGCTGCCTCCCCACCAGCTGTAGGGCGGTTGAGTGGGAGGAGGCAGGCAGACTCCAGAGGCACTACAATGTGGGTGGCTCGGCCCGCCCTGGGTGCGCCGCCCCAGGTGCCTGAGCAGCTTCCTCCGCTGCTGGCCTTCAGATGTTTTCTGAAAGTCAAATAGTTGTTTATTTCCTTGACATCTGATGGGAGGGTGGGCGCCACTACCAGGAAGGTCCTCTGCCTGGTTCCCTGTAACTTCACTTCTTGCAGTGAGGGAACCGCCCGAAGGCCCTCAGAGATGGACCTCAGTGGCTGAAAAATGGGGGTGGAGACGCTCCATCAGGTATACTGGGCTGAGGCCATTTAGGGCTTTAAAGGTCAGCACCAACACTTTGAATTGTGCTTGGAAACATGCTGGGAGCTAATGTAGGTATTTCAGGAACAGTGTTACAGTGGTACCTTGGGTTACAGACGCTTCAGGTTACAGACTCCTCTAACCCAGAAATAGTACCTCGTGTTAAGAACTTTGCTTCAGGATGAGAACAGAAATCGCGTGGCGGCAGCGGGAGGCCCCATTAGCTAAAGTGGTGCTTCAGGTTAAGAACAGTTTCAGGTTAAGAACAGACCTCCAGAACGAATTAAGTTCTTAACCCGAGGTACCACTGTATATGTGTATGCTTGTGTATGTGTCTGTGTGTGTGATCTTTTCTACCCTGACTTTAACAGCTGACATCTTTGCTTCCTAGTGAGAACTTGTCAAAGATGGCCCCAGAGTTCACCATCCTCATCAAGAACAACATCCATTTCCCTCGCTTCCGGTTTACCAAGTAAGAGCACCAGTGCATCCAGGTAGGGTTGGTCGCCTGACCCAAGTCCTAGGCCCTTGGAGGGAAGTTCCCAAACTGGGTTCTGAAATCTTGACCTGCCCACTGACTGTGATGCATGCAGAATGATGTCCGACGGCGGATTTGCCCTTGTGTGTCAACTTGGCTTTTTCTGATGCACTTTTGCTGTGCCAGAAAAAGTCCAGCAGCACACAGGAGGAGAGTTTTTGCTCCTGATCCTTGTTCCGTCTTCTCTCCAGAGGGAACGTCAAGGACAACGACGACAGCTACCTGAAGAGCTGCACCTTCAACGAAACCACAGGCCTCTACTGCCCCATCTTCAAGCTGGGCTTCATTGTGGAGCAGGCGGGAGAGAACTTCACCCAGCTGGCTGAAAAGGTAAACCTTGTGTAGGGATGTAGGAAGATGCTTTGAACAAAGTCAGGTTCAATAGTTCAGAACTGGCCGGCAGCCGTGTCTCTCCAGGGTTTCAGGCACGCAGTATCTCCAAAGCCTACCTAGAGGTGCTGCTGGGAATGGAACGTTGGACCTTCTGCATGCAAAGAACATGCTGTATACTGAAAGAGAAGTTAGGTTTCTAGTCCTCATGATTGTAAGAAAAATACAGTGGTACCTTGGTTCAGAACCTCAGATTTGTATTGATTTGTATTGCTTTTGATTGATTTAGGTGGGCAGCTGCCCACCTGCCTTCCCCTTGGCTATGCCCATAGTGGGGCTTACACGGGCCCCCCAATATTCTACAGTGGTACCTAGGTTCTCAAACGCCTTGGTACTCAAACAGCTTGGAACCCAAACACTGCAAACCCGGAAGTAAGTGTTCTGGTTTGCGAACTTTTTTCAGAAGCCGAATGTGCTCCATTTTGAGTGTTATGCTGAGGTCTGTCTGTTTTTGCTATTTATTTTGCATTTTTGTTTTTTTGCGGCTCTTTTTTGTTTTGTTTTTGTGACTGTGCGGAACCCAGTTCAGCTACTGACTGATTGATGTGTGTGACTGCAGTACATCGTTTATTGCTTTCATTTTATGGATCAATGGTCTTGTTAGATAGTAAACTTCATGTTAAACTGCTGTTTTAGGGGTTGTTTGGAACGGTCTGGAACGGATGAATCCATTTTGCATTACTTTCTATGGGAAAGCACGCCTTGGTTTTGGAACGCTTTGGTTTTGGAACAGACTTCCAGAACGGATTAAGTTTGAGAACCGAGGTACCACTGTAGTGCTGAACTAAATATGTAGGTGCCTAGTATTCAAATAGATCCCTGGTCCTTCCAATGATTCTCTAGGGTTCCAGGAGTCTTTCCTACCAGGAGATGCTGGCAGAGATTGAACCTGGGACCTTCTGCATGCCAAGCAGGTGCTCTGCCACTGAGCTACCCTTCCACTATTGCATCATGGGTGCCTTCTTTCCAGCCAGGCCTTCCTGGTGGAATTTTTTTGCGTGAGCAAGCGGTTACTGAAGGCCACTCGCCAGTGTGGCGTAGTGGCTGAGAGCGGTGGACTCGTAATCTGGTGAACTGGGTTCGCTCCTCTGCTCCTCCACATGCAGCTGCTGGGTGACCTTGGGCCAGTCACACTTCTCTGAAGTCTCTCAGCCCCACTCACCTCACAGAGTGTTTGTTGTGGGGGTGGAAGGGAAAGGAGAATGTTAGCCGCTTTGAGACTCCTTCGGGTACTGATAAAGCGGGATATCAAATCCAAACTCTTCTTCTTAAAATGATCTCTTTAAAAGGGAAGATGAGCTGGGTCCAGTGCTGCACATAATAACAAAGATGAATTCAGGTTTGAGGGGACTCTTGGCAACATGCTGCTCACCTGTCATTCACCTGACGCCTTGCGCCTCCGAGCCCGGAGGCTTGCATTCGGCACTGAACTTGAACAGTGCCAAATGCAGTCGAAGGAATGACTGGGAACAAATTCTCAGTACCGAAAGCAAGTCATGTTGCTTTTGTCAGGTTTTGGCTCAGATCAGGAGCGCCTGAGTGGAAACATTCTTAACAGGGCTTGCGTCGGGCAGCAGATTTAAACATTGCTAAAGGCAAGCCCCATTGCAAGGGTTGAAAACCAACAGCAAACATCGTCCCTGAATGTTGGTCATGCTGGATGAGGCTGATGGAACTCCAATGACCTCTGGAGGGAAGCAGGTTTGAAAGGATGGCTTAGAACAGGGGTCAGCAAACTTTTTTTAGCAGGGGGCCGGTCCACTGACCCTCAGACCTTGTGGGGGGGCCAGACTATATTTTGGAAAAGAAAAAAAATGAATGAATTCCTGTGCCCCACAAATAACCCAGAGATGCATTTTTAAATAAAAGGGACACATTCTACTCATGTAAAAACACCAGGCAGGCCCCACAAATAACCCAGAGATGCATTTTAAATGAAAGGACACATTCTACTCATGTAAAAACACGCTGATTCCCGGACCATCCATGGGCCGGATTGAGAAGGCGATTGGGCCGGATCCGACCCCCGGGCCTTAGTTTGCCTACCCATGACTTAGAACCTCTGCCTGGGTGCAGAGGAGAGAAATTCATTTCAATTCAATGCTATTCAATTCCATTCAAATTCAAGGAGCACCTGCCTAATTCACAATTCCCAAAACAATACTCAAACCGAAACAGCCGTCCTTTGAAATTTGCATACCTGCAGATTTCCCCCAAATATCGGGTGCAAAGAAATTGCAAATGGTAGCTTAAATAATGCACAGAATGCAAAATGTATATATATTAGGAGGTGGGGGGAAATCATATTAAAACGCTGATGGATTTTCGTAAATCACAAACTTGTTTGGAAACACGGAGAACTGAACTTAAGTTTGGAAAAATTCTCACACTGAGAGAAACAGAAGTTGACGGATTTGCCCGTTGTCGTATCTTCCGGCAACTTGTCAAGTTTGCCCCCTTCGGAAGCTCCAGCCTGATGCTTCCTGCTCCACAACCCCTGCCAACTTGTGGGATGCCCACAACCTCCCTCAGGTTGCCAATTCCGGGTAGCTGGCCGCCCTCTAATTGCCTTTCTCTTCATATCAATCAGCCCCAATCGACTCTCATCGCTCTCCTGGGATGGAGGGTATATTATCGGCTGCTTCAGTGAAGCTCATCTCTCAGCCATCCCGGCTGCTCCTAACCCTGTGGGATTAGCTCTTCGGCTAGATGGACCTCACACTCTTACAGCAAGGATTTCATTGACCAGGGGAGTAATGAAGTGGGGCAGAGAGTCAGTGTGGCCTAGTGGTTAGAGTGTTGGCCTATCGCCTGGGAGAGGAGGGTTCAAATCCCCACTTGGCTGTGAAGCTCTCTAGGCGCGACCTTGGGCCAGTCGTAGGCACATGAGAAGCTGCCTTATAGCGAGCCAGACATTTGGTACATCTAGCTCCATATTGTCTACACTGACTGGCAGCAGCTCTCCAGGATTTCAGGCAGGGGTCTCTTTCGCAACCCTACTGGAGATACTGGGGACTGAACCTGGGACCTCCCTCATGCAAGACAGATGAGCCATGGTCCTTTCCCAGTTGCTTGCTCTCAGCCTTGCAGGGTTGCTGTGGAGATAAAATGAGGAGGAAGAGAACCACATATGCCACTTTGAGCTCCCTGGGGTGAAAAAGGTGGGATATAAATGCAATAAACAAATGCTACCAGGGTGTGAGGGGCAGTAGATTCCGTATCAACAGGATTGAAAATGAAACTGCCGATATCCTAAGGCCACCATACAAATCTATGGAGCAGCTGTGCTTGGAATATGGTGTGCCATTCCAGTCACCTCTCCTCAACAAGGATACTGTAGAGTTGGAGAAGATTCTTTCTTTTTCTTTTTTGACAATATAATAAATAAATAAATAAATAAAGTGCACCCCACCACCGAGACCATTCCATTGTTACCATCTGACCTCCCAAAATTTCAACATCTCTTGCGGTAAAAGGTAAAGGTAAAGGGACCCCTGACCATTAGGTTCAGTCGTGACCGACTCTGGGGTTGCTTTACTTATCTCTCTTTACTGGCCGAGGGAGCCGGCGTACAGCTTCTGGGTCATGTGGCCAGCATGACTAAGCTGCTTTTGGCAAACCAGAGCAGCGCACGGAAACGCCGTTTACCTTCCCACCAGAGTGGTACCTATTTATCTACTTGCACATTGATGTGCTTTCGAACTGCTTGGTGGGCAGGAGCAGGGACCGAGCAACGGGAGCTCACCCTGTCACGGGGATTCGAACTGCCAACCTTCTGATCGGCAAGTCCTAGGCTCTGTGGGTTAACCCACAACGCCACCCATTTGGCCCTTTTCCGTTTTAACAGTACAAATTCTACAAACACCCTCCGTATCTGTATCTCCTCAAAATCATTTCTCCGGCATATTCCCCATCTTACCTTAATGGCACATGTTAATTTTTCATTAATAGCTATATCCCACACCTCTTTATAACACCTTTCTATTTTAGAGGAAGAAGGGCCTTCTTGGTGGTGGTGCCCGCCCTGTGGAATGCCCTCCCATCAGATGTCAAGGAAATAAACAACTATCTGACTTTTAGAAGACCTCTGAAGGCAACCCTCTTTAGGGAAGTTTTTAATGTGTGATGTTTTATTCTGTTTTTAATCTGTTGGGAGCTGCCCAGAGTGTCTGGGGAAACCCAGCCAGATGGGTGGGGTATTAACAACAACAACATATTATATTCTGCTTGCCCCTTCTGCTTTCTAGCTATAATAATTCGTGCAGCTGTCAATAAATTTGTGAGCAAGTCCTTCGTAACCTGTGAACCTTCCACCCCATCATAAATTGATGATAATGCTACCTCTGGACTTTTGGTCAGCATTAACCCAGTGATTTCTGTTATCTCCTTAAACACTCTTTGCCAAAAAATTGTACATATTTATTTATTTTTAAAAAATATATTTATTAAAGTTTCAACATTTTACAAAAATAAGGGGGGAAAAGAAAAAAAGAAAAAAGAAAATACAAAGTAAAAACAGTTAAAAACAAATCAGTTTTTCTAAATCTTATCTTTCATTTGCTTGTTTCCCTGACCTCCTCACACCTCCCTTTTTTGTATTCCAGTTCAATTAGTTAGTTCAGCAAATCCTTTCCCTTTTTGATTTTATCTTAATCTTTTATCTTCATATATTATAGCTTTATATTATCACCTGTTAACAAACCATTTTATATATTCCTTTATAACATTGCTGCTAAAAACCGCTTAACTTCAATCCAACATCATTCTAACATTCCTTAATTTTGCAGTGTTTCTGTAAATAGTCTTTAAATTTCTTCCAATCTTCTTCCACCGACTCTTCTCCCTGGTCTCGGATTCTGCCAAAATTGTACATATTTACACTCCCACCACATGTGAACATAATTCCCTGTTTCCTGGCATCCCCTCCAACATAACACTAAATATTCCTTGTTTATTTGATTTAATCTGAGTTGGAGAAGTTTCAACCAAAACGATCAACAACTTGGAGCAACCCCTAACACCAGAACTTGTGGACATCCGATGAAGCTCAATGTTGGAAAATCAGGACAGATAAAAGAAAGAACTTCGTCGTGCAGCGCTGTGTTAAACTGTGGAACTCACTGCCACAGGAGGCAGCAATGGTCACCAACTTGGATGGCTTTAAAAGAGGATTGGACAAATTCATGGAGGATAAAAGGCTCTCAACAGCTCCCAGCTACCCTAGCTGTGCACTACCTCCATTGACAGAAGCATCATGCCTTTAAATACCAGCTGCTGTGAACCGCAAAGTGGGAGGATGTTGTTTGATTTGGGTCCTGCTCCTGGGCTGCCCAAATGTGCTTCTGTTTGGCCCATGGGAGGAGAGCAGGAAGATGGAAAAAGGCAGGTTGTTGGCCTGAGCCAAGAGTACTATCATCAAATTGCATTTCATGATCCCTTTCTGCAAACTCGCACCTCCACTTTCTTTTCTTTTTTTAAAATTGCTTTATTGATTGGAAAGAAAGAAAAAACAAAGGGGAAAAAACCAAAGGATGATACAAATTACCAAAAAATGCATTAATTTATTACAACACAACTTCTATTATGACTTCCAGTCACTCCATCGAGAGTCCCAGGTTTCTGTTGAATAGCCCAATTTTCATTATCCCTTCAAACTTCTCCCAAATTTTTATTTTAATAAGGATTTCTATGTTTATACAGGGGTCATTCTAAGCCTGCCATAGAAGTCACCTTCTTACAATGCTTTTAAAGATATTTCCTGTAAATATCCTACTCTGTAGTGAACTTTTGATCTGTATTATCTCTAATCCTTTCCTGTCAGTCCACTTTGGTCGGGGTGGAATCTCCTTTCCATTTTTTGGCTATGAAGATTCTTGCTGCCACTGTTGCGTACAAGAAGATCTTCCTCACATTTTTTGGAATATCTATACCTATTATACCCAGTAGAAAGGCTTCGGGGTTTTTTTTGCAAAAGAGATTTTAAACATCTTTTTAAGTTCATTGTACAGTGGTACCTCTGGTTGTGAACGGGATCTGTTCCGGAGGCCCGTTCGCAACATGAAAAGAGCGCAACCCGCAGTGACGCGTCTGTGCACCCGCGGGTTGTGATTCGTTGCTTCTGCACATGCTTGTGACGTCATTTTGCGCTTCTGCGCGAGCGACGAAACCCGGAAGCAACGCTTTCCGGTACTTCCGGGTCGCCACGGGACATAATCTGAAAGAATGTAACATGAAGCGGACGTAACATGAGGTATGACTGTATATCCCAAAATTCCCTTATTTTCTTACAATTCCACCACATGTGAATCTTTGTACCCTCTCTGCATCTCCAACAAATGTACCTCCCCTTTCAAGTGGCAGTGGCAATGATGTGGGCACCACGGAGACACTGGCCAGGGTGGGCTTGTGGGTGCTTGGAAAGAGGCCCTCCCTTCGCTGAACCCGGTTTCCCTCGGCAGGGCGGCGTGATCGGGGTGATCATTAACTGGAATTGCAACCTGGACCTGCCGGATACGATGTGCAACCCCCGCTACTCCTTCCGCAGGCTGGACCCCAAGTGGGCCCAGGCCTCCTCTGGATACAATTACAGGTAACAACACATCCTTGATCTGGAAGGAAAGGCTCCAGCTGTTTTGCTACCTTTGGCAAAGGAGGATCTCTTTCTTGTGTTATAAGAAAAAGCTGTTCCTTTTCCCTTCTGGTGTATCCAAGAGCCCGTATAGAGTCCTTAAGTGGGTTCCCTATTGGTAGAAGAAAATAACAGAGGCCAACTATATTGAGAAGCAAAGTGGCTAGTAAGCCAGAGCTTTATTTAAGGAACTATTGCAACAGGGTCCCCACTCACCACACGCAGGAGGGAGGAGGAACCCTGAACAGTGGTGTGCAAGCCCTTATATAGACTTCTGAAATCGCCCACCCTGTAGCCCAGTAACCCCCCCCCCCAATACATCATACATACGTCACAGAAGCAGGCGGTCTACAGCAGAAATACATCACAAGAGGTGGTCTACAGCAGAAATCCTGTCTGCCAGCATACCTGACAATGGTCACTGATTGCTTTACCTGGACAGCCTAGCCATTCTTGTGTGATGGTTAATACTTTAGTTCCTGAATCCAGGTCACAGGCTCACCCTATTCATACATCCTTAAGGCAGGATTTGTAAGCAAAACGACAATGGGTGTGGTTGAGTCCACCGAACACATTCTCTTGACTTGCCCTTCTTATGCAGAGCTTAGACAAAATTTTATAGACCCACTCCTATGTCAATTTAGCTTCCTACCCGGAGAAAACCAGGTTTTACACTTGCTAAATAATGTCACTAGAGCTATACCTTCCTTGGTGGCCAAATTTCTTTTTTTGGCTTTTAAGCATCGCAAGACTATAATTGACTGTATTGATATGGGGCTATCTGTTTAGCCCATTTTAGTGTTGGCTAAGTTCTAAAATCTTCCTGGATGTTTTAATTGTGTATTGACAAATGTACTTTTTTCTGACTGACGGTCGAATAAAAGGTTGATGATGACAATGGGAAGGCTTTCCCAATTTTCTTCCCTTACTGCAGAGGAATATTTGAGGTCACTGGGAGAGTCAACATGGCTTCAGGATTGCTCTCCTGTACTATTTCAGACACGTGGTTTATATACTTATGTATGTGTTCGCCTTGTACATTTATGAGTGTTTATTTTATATATGGGACCTTAGAATTCTTATAATATTTGTATTGTTTGTGTTGGTGGGATGTATTGGTGCCTTTCAGTGATGTGCGGTGAAACTTTTCGTAGGGCCAGAGGTGTCAGCTTGCAATGGTGATTGGGGAGGGCAGAAGCTTCCTGGGCTTTGGGAAGGATGTGCCAGGCCTCTGGCAGGATTATGGAGTCCTGCTGCCTCCTTTCCAAAGCTGGACAGGCTTTGGGAAGATGGCAGGAGAGCTCTTGGACCCTGTCGGAGCATCATGCCTCTTCCCTAAGCCAGGCAGAAGCTTCCTGGGCTCCGGAAAGGAGGCACCAGGCTTTAATACTCTAATTTACCTGGAACATTTGGGGGACTAGTCTAATCCCCCTGGTCCACTGACCACACACCACTGGTGCATTTGTGTGTTTGTGGTGTTACGGTAAAATCTGGGTGCGAGGCTGCTCTGCCACCCAGCTCGTCGGACTAAGTCCGCGGGTCCCTGCGGAGGAAAATGAGCTCAGCCGGAGACAGGAGCAAACTGCAGAAGATCCAAGTTTATTGCGCAACAGGTTCAAGGCGAGATTGAACAGCGAGAAAGGGGTGACATGAACTTTTGAAACTTCCCTCCATGTCCCAGAATACAGTGCAAAATACATCCCAGTTACATCATGAATACATTAAGAAGAGGTTGGGTTACACAGGATTAACATATGGAGGAGGGAGGGGGGAATATGCAGAGCTGGAGATATGCGCAGATAAGCACATCCTGAGTACGGTGATGGTCCATGTATGCGTAGCCTGCCACCTGGCATTGCCCGGAGGAAAGGCTTGGCAGAGTGATTTGACAGGATTAGGGTCTTGACACCTTGCTTGAGGGATTATGGAGGACAGGGGAGGTGTCATGGAGTCCTAGAGAAATTGAGCAAATTGGCACGTTGATTTTCTATGGATTTTATAGATTTTAGTCCCTTTTGACATTGACAGTTGGAAATAAATGGATATATTGTAGCGAAGAAGAAGGTGAAGAAGACATGCCCCCCCCCCCGTATCAGTGGTGTGGTGTGCATGGGACAAATGCACCTCCTGGCTCGCTTGTGCAAGCCCAGAGCCAACTCAAGACATTTAGCTGCCCGAGGGTGATCAGAGCAGCCTCTCGTTCCACACTGATCCTTGTAGAGATAACTCCGCAGGGTAACCTCTTAGCTGTGAAGCTGGAATGTAGTACCCAGTTTCTTCCCGTGTCCAATCGGATGCCCACAAGCGGTGCATGAAAGCCATAGCCCTCCCGCAATGCTGTTGCTTCCATGTGGCCACCATGCTAAACCAGAGGTCAGCAAACTTTTCCAGCAGAGGGCCGGTCCACTGTCCCTCAGACCTTGGGGGGGTGGGGTGGCAAGACTATATTTTGACGGGGGGGGGGGGAAATGAATGAGAGCCAGTGTGGTGTAGTAGTTAAGAGCGGTGGACACGTAATCTGGTGAACTAGGTTCGCTTCCCCGCTCCTCCACATGCAGCTGCTGGGTGACCTTGGGCCAGTCACACTTCTCTGAAGTCTCTCAGCCCCACTCACCTCACAGAGTGTTTGTTGTGGGGGAGGAAGGGAAAAGGAAATTGTTAGCCGCTTTGAGACTCCTTCGGGTTGTGATAAAGAGGGATATCAAATCCAAACTCCTGCTCCTCTTCTTCTATGCCCCACAGATAACCCAGAGATGTATTTTAAATAAAAGGACATATTCTACTCATGTAGACCGTCCTGGACCGTCCGCAGGCTGGATTGAGGTGATTGGGTTGGATCTGGCCCCCGGGCCTTAGTTTGCCTACCCATGCGCTAAACAGATGGACCTCCTTATTCCTCCTCCAAATTTTCTGATCCCCTTTCAAAGGCCCCTGCCCAATAGCAGCCATTCCCACATCTCACAGCAGCCAGAGCTATGATGTTACGTGAGCCCCTCTTCCTTTGACTGCTTGCTTGAGCTGAGCTGCATGCAAGGGAGGGTTTTTCTTTTGCAAAGGGTGTTGCAAGTTCCACATCACCCAAGGCCTCGAGCCCCTCTTCCCAGCCCCCCATCTGCTGACATTAAGACACATAGCTCCAGGAAGTGGGGGACCTTTGTCAGCTTGAGGGTCACATTCATTTTCGGGTGGGTGGGTGGAACATGCCGGGCCAGGGCCAAAAGTGGGTGGAGTAGGCTTGTTTCTCCAGCTCCCTATCAGTCCTCCATCCACAGTAGCAAGAGGCATGATCAGAGTTCAAAGCTGCATTCTAGTGAGGGGTGTGGCCGGGGGAGGGAAGAGAACACATGCATTCTGTGACATCACAGGCGTTCAGCCAATGAGTGAGTGGAGCAGCACTCACCATTATAATAGGGACCTTTTAAGCTCCAACATTTTCTACCAGGCGGTGTATTTTTAGGAGGGGGAAATAAGTATTTTCTCGACAGCCTTGCTTGCTGACAATGCAGCCATGCAGGAGGGCCAGGTTTCTCTGTGCCAAGGTTCTGGGCATTTTATGGCAGCAGCCAGCCTTGCTCACGCCCCTTGCTTTTGACCCCCAGGTTTGCAAAGTACTATAAGCACAGGGGCAAGAGCACCCGCACCTTGATCAAGGCTTACGGCATCCGCATCGATGTGATTGTGCACGGGCAGGTAAGGGACAGAGATGCTTGCTATGGAAGGGACATGGGGCTGGGTACTGGGATGCAGGTGCCACGTTACAAAAGTATTATTCTAAGCAGGGCTTAGTGGGGTTGGGGCTGGAGGAACCGTTTTTAGGCTAAGGGTGGCAAGCTTCAGGAATCACATGCCAGTAGAGGTCGGGGTGAAAGGCGAAGTCGGCAGGTACAAGAGAGGTGCAACAGGTACATCTCTCTCTTACATCTCCTCCAGGAGTGGCTGTGGTCTAAACCACTGAGCCTCTTGGGCTTGCCGATCAGAAGGTCGGCGGTTCGAATCCCCGCGACAGAGTGAGCTCCCGTTGCTCTGTCCCACCTCCTGCCAGCCTAGCAGTTCAAAAGCACGCCAGTGCAAGTAGATAAATAGGTACCACTGCAGCGGGAAGGTAAACAGTGTTTCCATACACTGGTTTCCATCACTGTGCCCTGTTGTACCAGAATTGGTTTATTCCTGCTGGCCACAAGACCCGAAAAGCTGTCTGTGGACAAACGCCGGCTCCTTTGGCCTGAGAGAGAGATGAGCGCCACAACCCCATAGTCGCCTTTGACTGGACTTAACCTTTACCTTTACCGTAGACTAAATTCTGCGGGAGGTTTGTGGGCACCTGTCCCCCACCTGCCATCCAGGTAAGCAAGCAGCATGGCCCTGGTTCAAGGACATGTTCCAGACATGTCAAAAGCACTTGAGGTTACTATTATTGTTATCATTTTTTAATTTACTTTGACTAGCCAAAGCCACTACAAAAGACAAAATGCACAAAACAGAGTAGAAGCAGAATAAAATGCGTCACACAGTCAAAATAGTCATCAAAACCAGACATACTGTCACATCAGTTAAATTCTTCAAGGTCACTGCAAGCAGGGCTAATAGCGATTCTGTCGCTTTCTCCCCTTAGGCAGGGAAGTTCAGCCTTATCCCCACAATCATTAATCTGGCCACGGCGCTGACGTCAGTGGGAGTGGTGAGTATTGTGGACCATGGCATCCTCTCTCTTGCTTCATTCAATTAAAATAAAAAAAGACTTTTCCTTCTCTGCTGTTGATTGATCACTCTCCTCCTCCGACAGGGCTCCTTCCTCTGCGACTGGATCTTGCTGACCTTCATGAACAAGAACGAAGTCTACAGTGCCCGGAAGTTTGACCAGGTAGTGGGGAGGGTGCCCCTGAATGGATGCAGATGGGGCTCGAGCCATCTGTGATCCTAGACCCAAAATGCCTGTGCTCCGTGACAAATTCCCTGGGGAGCTCTGCCAACCCTGGGCCAGCCGAGAGGGGCAGGAATTCTCAAAGAGCACCCCTCCCAGCTTGGCAGAACTGGGGCTCTTTCTCACAGCAGCTTGTTGGCCAAGCAACATTCAACGATGGGCTATCAAAAGGCACCCAATGTTGCTCAGTGCACACAGGAAAGAGCCCTGGAGGCTGGTCCATTAGAAGGCAAATGGGGCACTGCCCCACCAACCTCAGTCCGGCCTCAGCCAGCCCCCCGACCTGCCTGCCTTCTTTGTTACAACCAGTCTGGTGTGTCTGCCTGTCATTGGTTCCACTTCCTGTATTGCAAGGGGTTGGAAGAGATGATACTTCAGGTCCCTTAAAACTCTACAATTCTGATTAAAAAAACCCCACCTATTTATATTGCACCCCTCCCTGCGCCAAAGAGCCGCAAGGCCTTTTTCATTGTATGTGCTAAGAGTCCTCCATGCACCTAAAATGGAACAGTCCATTCCATCATCTTGCTTTCCTGCGAGTGTAGGTCAGGCTGAACTATTGAGGGGATGGGGTGAGCAAAGCAGATGCTTTACCCACCTCCCTGCCGACCAGTCTTCAGTCTCTAGGTGGCCTCTGGCTAGGTAGGTACTCTGATCAGTCTTGCAACTTTTATCAGAAAAAAACTGTTCCTTTTCCCTTATGGGGTATCCAAGAGCATGTATAGAGTCCTCAAGCGGGTTCCTTATCGGTAGGAGAAAATAACAGAGGCCAACCAGAGAATATTGAGAAGCAAAGTGGCTAGTAAGCCTGATCTTTATTCAAGGAACTGTTGCAACAGGCTCCCCACTCACCACACGCAGGAGGGAGGGGAGAACCCTGAACAACGGTGTGCAATCCCTTATATAGACTTTGAAATTGGCCACCCTGTCGCCCAAGACCATCCCTCTAAAACAGCATACATCCATCACAGAAGTAGGCAGTCTACAGCAGAAATCCTGTCTGCCAAGATACCTGAGAATGGTCACTGATTGCATTACCTGGGCAGTCTGGCCATTCTTTTGTGATAGTTAATACTTTAGTTCCTGAGTTCCAGATCACAGGCTCACCCTATTCATACACAAATACGCTCTTAAGGCAGGATTTGTAAGCAAAAAAACGACAATGGGAAGACTTCCCCAATTTTCCTCCCTTACTGCAGAGGAATATTTGAGGTCACTCGGAGAGTCAACATGGCTTCAGGATTGTTCTCCAGTACTATTTCAGACACGTGGTTTATATACTTATGTTTGTGTTCGCCTTGTACATTTATGAACATTTGATTTATATTTGAGACCTTAGGATTCTTATAACAGTACTAATGGCTTGTCCCTTCTCCCACATCTGGCCAGATGCCCAAGCTCCAAGAGGGAACTCCGACGACGGACTGCAGCATCACCGATTCCTGCACTCAAGCCTCCTCGCCCGCAGACTCCAAAGCGCCCATCCATCTCTGAGGGTTCAGGAGCTCCTTTCCTGTCCCATCTTTTCTCAGGATGGTCTTCTCTGCATCTGATAAAAGGCAGCTCCATTCTCCTGTGGCCCATGGCACAATAAATCGAGTCGGTCCTGAAGGTGTCGGGAGAGGAGTCTCATTTTGACCACAAGACCGGTGGAATTCGTCCTTCTCAGGGTACTAAAACAGCCATACGAAATTCCTGAGAGAATGGGAGGAGCAGGGAGGAACTGAGCCATTGCAGACCCTCAACCTACCAGATCTGGCTTTATCCCGGCAAAGGAAGGACAGCGTTGCTGGATCAGACCAAAGGCCTATCTAATCCAGCATCGTGTTCTCAACAGTGGTCAACCCAAAGCCTCTTTTGGGAAGCCCACAAGCAATGCCTGAGTGCAGCAGGGCTCTCCCCACCTGTTGTTCTCAGAAATTGGTATACAAAGGCCCACTGCCTCCATCGGCCAACATAGCATGATCTTCCCTGCCTGGAACTCTAAAGAGCGGCTGTCAGTCAGTGTAAGAGACCCCTGATCATTAAGTCCAGTCGTGGCCGACTCCGGGGTAGCGGCGCTCATCTCGCTCTATAGGCCGAGGGAGCCGGCGTACAGCTTCTGGGTCATGTGGCCAGCATGACTAAGCCGCTTCTGGCGAACCAGAACAGCACACAGAAACGCCCTTTACCTTTCCGCCGGAGCAGTACCTATTTATCTACATGCACTTTGACGTGCTTTAGAACTGCTAGGTTGGCATGAACAGGGACCGAGCAACAGGAGCTCACCCCGTCACGGGGATTCAAACCGCCAACCTTCTGATCGGCAAGTCCTAGGCTCTGTGGTTTAACCTGCAGCGCCACCTGCATCCCACCAGTCAGTGTAGACAACATTAATTAGACAGACCACTAGTCTGACGCAGCCTGTTCTTGTATGACTGAATCCCACCTGATAACAGCCGAATTCTGGAAAAACCCCTTGTTTTAAAACTGGGCTCAAAACCAGCTAAGCGGAGTCTTCCTTCTCTCATTTTTGCAGCGCCCCCTCCTCCACAAACGTCCCAGCTTCTGCCATCAAAACTTACTTCCTCTGTTCCATTTGGGAATTGGGAATGTATACGTCATAGCGAGCCCACCAGCCGCTTTGCTCTATGGCAGGCGTTTGACCTAGCTAAGTGCTCACAGAGAAGCGCTAAGTCAATTAGAAAACCATTCAGAGGTAATTGAGCCAGCTCGGGGGAAGATATTTCTCCCCCTAATCAGATTGCGCACCTCTTCTGTTCCCAGAGCAAATCCCAACACATTATAGGCTCCCCTCAACCCCATTAAGGAGAGAACAGCAGCCGACAATAATTCTCCGGTTCCCTCCGCTCCCCCTTGGCAAATATAAAAAATTCAGTATCTTTGCTGGGGGGAGAGTGTGATGTTATTCCAGAGGCAGCAAGTGGGCATTGCAAGACCCCTGGAAAAGCAGCAGCAGGCAGGCTCTCCGGGAACAAATTTCAGAAGAAATACCCTTGCTGAAAGCCAGAGGGGGAGAGTCCTTTTGGGCTTGGGGTCCTGCTTACGAGTTTCCTTTTTTAAACTATTTTTATTTAAAGTTTTCAACATATGAGACAATAAAAACCAAGCAACTATAAAAAAGAAAAGGAATATAACCCCCCCTCAACTGTATCATATCCTTTATCCATAGTTGTACCTGGGATCTCAAATGCCTTGGCTCCCGAACAAATCGGTTCCCAAACGATCAAAACCCAGGAGTGAGTGTTCTAGTTTTTGAATGATTTTCGAAAGCTGAACATCCATTCCGGCTTCCGATTGGCTGCAGGACACTCCTGCAGCCAATCAGAAGCCGTGCCTTGGTTTTCGAACGGTTCCGGGAGTTGAACTGACTCCTGGAACGCATTCTGTTCGAGAACCAAGATACAACTGACTACAGAAAAGTAGACCTTCTCAGAGCTCACCTGGGAGTTTCTTTCTATCCCGTCGCTCAAACACAGAGCCCACCTGTCTGAGCTTTCTTTGCATGTCCTCGTCAATCCAAAACAGAGGACTTCTAAAAATTAAAGATAAAAAAGAAACAATGCAGAAAAAGAGAGAAATAAAAGATCCAGGAGAGAGGGAGAGAAAGGAAAGAGAGGGAGAAAGATACTTCCACCTCTCTATCAAATAATTACTCAAATTATTTAGCCCATACACTCCAGGGTAGCTCATTGTTGCGCATAATACCCAGTTTTTCTCCTAAATGGCATTTTCTCAAATTTTTCATCCTAGGCCTCCAGAAAATCACTTTTGTCACTCAGCCAGCCCAATATAATTTTTCTTGCCATAATGGGCACCTGGTTGGCCATTGTGAGAATGGGATGCTGGACCAGATTGGCCACCGGCCTGATCCAGCAAAGCAATCCTTATGTCCTGAAGATGACGCAAACATACTTGCCGGACTCTTCCCCCTGAGGAAGAAGTCCCTTGGCATCCTCTTCACAGGTACCCAAAAGGAGACTGCGGGTGAAGATTTCTCCCTCCGCACCGAGTAAACTTTAACCATCGCAGCATTTTTGGCATCCTTCCATCTCCTTCCCAAGGACAGGGGGAAAGAGAAAAAGAGAGAGTCAGGCAGATAAAAAAGACTGGCACTAATTGAATCAGTTGGCTTTTGCAGTCTAATTAGTTTCCAGAATTCTTTGGAGAATTCTCAGGTTGCTCAGACTTTTTGAAGGGAATGTTTACTGATTCAGCTGTTTTTTTAATATACAGTATATGAAAAAGGTCAGAGGTGGGGCCCCTCCAGAGCCACTCCCCCAGGTGTGCTCCTGGGTTTCCTGTAATGGTCACACCCACTGCTGCATATCACAGGTATGGGGAAAGGGAGGCTTCATTGAGAGATCAAAGCCACAGGGCATGGCAGCAGTGGAGAATCGAGTATTATTATTTTATCTGATGAAATTAAATGAAGCTTTGGCCCTCCAGATGCCGAACTACATTTCCCATCAGCTCTGGCCAGCATGGTTGAAGGCCAGGGATGACAGCCTTCAGTTGCATTTTTAGTTTAGAGCAGTTTAAACCATTTTTCAGGCCACGCCCCACCTATGCATCTCTCAAATCCTGATATCCCCCCCCCACCTGTGACATATAATTCTTATATTTCAAAAAGTGAACTCCTATCCATGTAGAGGAAGTCTAAAAGGCCATTAACTGTTAATAACTCATTTTCGAATTGCCCCCCCAAAAAAAATCAAATTGCCCCCCTGTGGGGCACATTGGGAACCACGGGTTTAAAGAAAAGGCAAGAGGTGACATGGTAGCAGTTTATAAAATGATGCACAGCAGGGAACAACTCTTCTTCCTCTCTCACGATGCTAGAGCTTGAGGACATCCATGTTTTTCCAGGACAGATACAAGTACTTCTTCATTCACGCAACTATGGAACTCACTTCCACAGGAGGCAGTGATGGCAACGAACCTAAATGGCTTTCATAAATGATCAGACAAATTCATGGGGAAGAGGGCCATGGACTGCTACTAGTCATGACGGTTATGCTCTGCCTCTGTGGTTGGAGGCAGAGGTGCACTTGTAGACGGTGCTGGAAACCGCAGGAGGGGAGAATTGCTCTTTTGCTCAAATCCTGCTTGTGGGTTTCCCATTGAGGCATCTGGTTGGCCACTGTGAGAACAGGATGCTGGACTAGATGAGCCACTGGCCTGATCCTGCAGGCAGGCTCTCACGTGCAAACGAGAGGTGTGTGGGTGGCTCCATACTTGATTAGAATTACAGGGCTGGGAGATGCTTAAACGTCTTGCCCGCACTACTTCCCCAGGTCAGAATTGCCCCCCCAGGATGTGGACTAGATGGGCCTTTGGAAAGATCCAGTAGCCAGGCTCTCCTTCAGTGCTTCAATGTCCACTGGACAACCAGTCTGCCTAGAATCCTGTGTTATCTCCCTATTAAAGGACTCCTTTAACAACCTTGATTCACGGCTGACAAGCAGCGGCTCCATGATGCTCTTTTGTCTGCTTGCAACTAAATGCCAAAGCTTCGCTTATACTCACTGCAGAACGACGACAGGGACAGCCACTGCCTTCCCAACCATAGCAGGAGAATAGCGAGAGCAGGACTGAGTGTGTGTGTCTGTAGGACTAGGAATCTAGTATATTAGCAATTAACAACATGGAAAAAGGGTTTATTTACAGCATTAAACACACACACACACAAACACAGAATAAAATTGGGGCAAAAAAGAGAGAGTTCCATGATTCAAGGCTTTTTTCAGTATCTTGCACTCCCAAATTCCAGCAAAAGGAGATCAAAGAAGCAGCAAGTTAGCTAGCCTATTTGTGAAGGCCTCTTCACTTGCTCCTGGTCTTGGTTTCAGAAGACGGTACCCTCCTCCCCATGCGCTCGCCAGAAGGCGTTGCCTGCTTCCCCGCAGCATGCAACAAACGTCAAGTCTCTGAATATTTTTGTCCCAGGGCGAAGCTGAACCTGCAGCCTGGCCCGGAGAATAGTCTAGGTCCCAGGACCCCATGGCAGATGTGGTGGTGGGGCTCTGACACTGGGGTGCAGGTGTGCAACAGCCTGTCCACAGCGGTAGCACCCTCATCTTACAAGAGAAGCTGAGGGTTCATCTGAAGCAGCCATTTAATATTCTCCAGCAGGTAGTCCATGTTGTAGTGCCGGGCGATGCTTTGAAAGACCTTCAGCTGTTCCAAGAAAGCCTGAGAAAGTAAGAGAAGAAGAGGCAATGAGGGGAAGTTTCTATAGGATGGATCTGCTTGAGGCAAGGTAAAAGGTAAAGGACCCCTGGACAGTTAAGTCCAGTCAAAGGGGTTGCAGTGCTCATGGGGTTACAGTGCTCATCTCGCTTTCAGGCTGAGGGAGCTGGCATTTATCCGCAGACAAGCTTTCCGGGTCATGTGGCTAGCATAACTAAACCACTTCTGGCACAATGGGACACCATGATGGAAACCAGAGCGCATGGAAATGCCGTTTACCTTCCCGCCATAGTGGTACCTATTTATCTACTTGCATTGCTCTG